AAACCCTATCCAACTACACTACTATTGGACACATATCATGGACCAAACAAACTGGATTGGCTGTTTTCTGAAAATAGGTTTTCAAAAACAGAGAGAAGATAAAGGAAATTAAAATTATCCGCAACACTAGACTTTCCACACTTTCACTTCATTCGATTACGATTCAACGTGAAAGGCTCATCACCGGGTTTGGTTTTGGGGAGGCACAAATGGGTGTCTTCAATGATACTAGGAATCAAAATAATAATAATTTAAAGCATGATTTCTATATTAAAAAAATTATCAATTAAATTACTTACTTGGATGCCTCGTATCTCTTCTACTACCCTTCAAAACTCAGAAGTCCACATTGTTTAGCAAATGTGAACAGTGATTTCTCAAAGGAATAGTGCCTTGACCATAATTTTCATGCATTTTGTTGCTATTTGCAAAATTGCCATTGCTTTTGGCTACTTCTTTGGTTTTTAATTCTGGTTTGTATACATTAGGAATCATTAGGTGTTTTTGCATGAGAAATTATCTTTTTTTCCTTGTTTTAAGACATGTGTTTTTTGGGTGGGTTAGATATATTTGTAGCTTCACTGTGATCTCTGATATATACATTCTCGGTTTGTTTCAGTGGAGAAGGTATTCTGTTTCACGAAGTTTTTCATCCAAGTTTTCTTTTCTCAAAGCTCGAAGGTAATTTGCAATTACTTATCTATTTCTAATCTAATTTCCAGAAACTTATTCATTATATTTTTCGAGATAGTTTTCTAGAGGTTGAAATTGATTTCGAATTTTGTATTTGGTTAAGTATTTTTTGATTGTTTTTTTTATATTATGAAATTATAGGTGGTTGGGAATTTCTATGTTTATTACATGCACTCTGTGATATTTAGGGAGTTCAAATTGATTTTAAATTTTTTACGTTCTTTGCATGCATTCTGAAATAATTAGGGAGTTCAAGGATGAAATTGAATGTTGTATTTTGTTCAGTGTTTCTTGATTGTTTGGTATGCATGGAAGTTTTTGCAGTAATTATTACGTGATTTTTGTGTGATAATGTCTTGAATTTCCATTCCGGTTAAATTGGTATGCATGGATATTTAAAGTAGTTGATTGCATTGTTTAGCACATGCATATGCGAACTTGATTTATAGTGTTAATTATTTATTTAAGATTTCGTTATTATGGTTTGAGAGTTGGCATGCATGTATGTGTTTTAAATGGATTGGAAATTCCAAAGAGTTGGTATGCATTTGAGGGTTTTTGATGGTTTAGACTACTAATATTTATATAAGGAGGATGCTATAATCGTGGTGGTTAGTGATTTATACTCTATACTTATATTGTAACATTGTGATGATTTAGATGATATGTTTAATGTTGAAACTAAGAAGAACAAATGACAATATGAGCTCTAATTAAATTTTTTATCATGAATTAACATTAGATCTTTATGTGGTGGTGAAGGGATTCTTTTCACTTTTGTGGTTGTTTTCGAAATGTATGGGTTAAAGTTGACATGATTTTCTTTATGATTTGTTGATATAAAGCCTTTTTTGTTTATGAGTTTGTATGTCAGTTGGTATTATTTTGAGGACTTAATTTTTGTTTATTTTGTGATTGTAGTGAATTTAGAACACTCTTTTTTGTATGTAGTTTATGTGGAGTGTTAAGGGTAAATTAAGTTGAACTTTGTCTGTTGGTCCAAGTAAAGAAATGTAGAATATGAAGGTGGTATAATATTTATTGGTCTATAGAAAGAAGTTTGAAATGGCTTGAGTGTGATAACTTTCATTGTATCTTATTCGGGTTGACCTTAGTCTAAATTGGTTGATCATACGTTTATTACAGGTTATGGATGCTCCACTCACACAAGTAGTGATTTCGTTTCGTCCCTTGTTGAAGCAAATTACCAGATGCTTGAACATCCCTGATCCAGAATACCAATATCTTAATCTTCGGAGAAAAATTGCTTGTGTGGCTATTTAGGAGTGATAGTAGTGTTGTTCCTGTCGTTTACCTCAGTGGAGATTCGGAGAGTGTAGATGAATCGTGTGAAACTGCAGCTAGAAAAGCTGTGTATGATCTGATGAAAAAACATGATATAATTGTCGACGATGTAACAACCTTACAGAAAAAAATTTTTGAACGTTGTGGACAATTGTATAGTTATAAGAAAGAGGAATTGGCGGGAATTGAGAAAGGAGAATCTAAGGTTTATTTTCATGGAGATATTTGCACTGAATCTGGTATCAATCAGAGGAAATTTGTTATTGATTTTATTAAAGTGTTGAGGTCTATTTTAAAGTGTGCTAATATAAAGTGTACTCCAATTGAAACTATTGAGAAATTTCCTAATCTGTATATATTATGGTTTAACATCATCCACCATAAGAATAGTTTAGGATGTCGATGTTTGTTTAATGATTATTGTACAAGCCAAGATGCGACTAAGAAAGATCTTGCTAGGAAAGCTGTTGACTATCTCATTGATGTGTGTAATCTTGAGATAGTGGATGCTAATTATAGGGCAACGACTTGTAGGTTTGATGTTGTGTTGTGTGTTTTGGAAAGGGAAAGTTATTTAAGTGTAAAGAAGCGAGTGTTAGGAGTTACAGAGCCGTTGGAACCTTCAACGGGACTTGTAGAATAGGGCTGCTTAGCTGGTGTAGGGAAGAAGTCTTAAGGAGCAGTGCCTATTCCACCTGATGTAACTTTCAATGATACTGATGTTAGGCTTCGACTTTCAGAATCATCAGGAATTGCTGAATCTAGCAGTGATGTGTTTTCAGAGGTGACAGGCTCAGATGATTTACATGGTCGATTGAAGCGTATAAGGTTTTCAAAGGATTAGACTTTTTAGGTTTGGTATGGGATGGGGTAGTAGGAGTGGAGTCTATATAATGCCTCTCCTTTTTGTTTTTTTGGTTTGCTTCTTTGACTAAGTTAGTTTTTGCTATAATTAAAATGTATAAATGTTTTGTGGATGTATGTTATTGTTGAAAGATTTTGAAGTGCTTATGTAATGAACTCTTATTAGTACATATATGGGGGTTTGTATTCAAACATATGGTTATGTAATTGCTAAAATGGATAAAATATATTCTATGATAATGAATTTTTGTGTCGACTTTTGTTTTACAAGTTTCACTATTATTTTCTTTTAGAATTTACCAAAATTACATTAAAGGTTTATTGCTTGTTTTGTTATGAATTTAGGGGATTCAGATCACAAGTTGTGTTCACAAAATTTATTGAATAGTTGATATAACAAGAATTTCAAGGACAGTGTATCGTGTAATTTTCATATAGTTTCGGAAAATGTGTGAGTAACTTGCTGTTTAAGATAATTTTAAAGAATAAATTGGTTTATATTCAAGTAATTCGAGAAGTTTAATTTATATTTAGGAAGTTTGGGTTATAATGTTTATCAATTTTATGTCTGCTATTGATCATTTAGATCGCTTATTACAATCACCGTCAACATAAAAGAATTACAAAACTAAACGTCTAAGAGGTCTGGAAATTGAAAGTGATGAAGTAGAGGATGCAAATGTATCCAAAAAAAAAAACAAAGATTAGAGTTCAACAAACAAGTAATTTCCTTTTTTTTGGTGGTGATATAAACTTTATTCATTTATCTGTATTGAAGTGATTTGAACATTAATATTAATGATTTTCATGTTTATTATCGTATAAGCACCTTTGACAACGAAGAGAACTATAAAAGTAAACGATGTTCAGATTTAGAAGGTGAATGTGGTAATGAGACACAAAGGTATGTATATGCTGGTTATTTTAATAATAATCTCATAATACAAACTATGGTATATCATTGTTATCATTTTTATTTTTCAAAATTTGTTTGAACGTGTGGTGTAATTTCTATTTTAAAGATTACAAGAACAGTTAAATGAAAAGGCCGCAAGAGAAACAAGTAAAAGAGTTGAAGTGACAAGTAATTTCTCGGTCATCTTTTTTGGAGTTGCGTATTTTTAAAATATGAACATTAAAGAGAAAATTCAATATGCTAATATCCAGTATTCATATTTAATACAGAGGTTCCAGGTACAACGATTGGGAAGAAGATTCCTACGAAAGCTTATCAGCTTCCTGCACCAACTTACTGTCATAGATGTTTGGCAAAAAAAATTGCCTTTGAAGCACTTCACTTTTGTTGTGAAGATGGGAAAGTTAGAGTTGTTTTGAACGATTATCCTACACATCTTGTGTGGTTGTTAACTTCTATGGATGAAGAAGCGAAACATTTTAGGAAGTATGTGCGACTATATAACAATTTGTTCGCTTTCACTTCAATAGGCGGCGGTTACAATGCTAAGACAAAACAAGGAATATATGTTTTTAAGTTACATGGACAGATTTATCATAAGATTTCCAGTTTAGTTCCCGGAGAAAAGGGGCCAAGATACATGCAGCTTTATTTTTATGATGGACAACAAGAATTAGCTAATCGTCTTAAATGTTTTCCTAAATTAAGGGAGAGTATTGCATTTGATGTAATTATGGATCATGTCAGAAATAAGAAGCCTGGTGCTTTCTTTATAGATGGTCCTGGTGGAACAGGGAAAACCTTCCTGTACAATGCCATGTATGCAGAAATAAGATCGATGGATAAGATTGGCTTATCGACAGCAACTTTAGGTATTGCAGCAGCTAATATTCCTTCAGGAAGGACTGCACATTCACGTTTTAAAATTCCTTTGGAACCTTCTGGCTCTGTAACTTGTAATGTTCCTAAACAAGGAAGTTTAGCTGCACTGATAAGGGAAACAACTTTAATTATATGGGATGAAGCTTCTATGGCTAAGAAGGGAAATATCGAATCTCTTGATACATTACTCAGAGATATTTGCAATTCAAGCAAATTATTTGGAGGCAAATTAGTAGTTTTTGGTGGGGATTTTAGACAGGTTCTTCCAATTGTTCCACGTAAGACACGACGAGAAGCAGTTGCTGCAAGTTTAGTTAGTTCTGTTTTGTGGTCGTAGCTGATGAAGTTCAGGTTGAATGAAAATTTAAGAGCTAAAGATGATCTTATGTATGCATCTTTTTTGTTGTCATTGGGTAATGGAGAACTACAAAATAATGAAGATGCATTTGTTGAGCTTCCATCAAGTATTGTTAAGCCTTGTTATTCTGGTGTAGCTGATGATGTACACCTTACAGTTGTGGCATTACCAGATTTGGATATGCCTCCATTCAGTACATATATTTTTACTACAAGAACTATTTTGACACCGATGAATGAGGATGTTGATGCCATTAATTCAAGCTTGACTGAAAAATTCCCTGGTGAATTAGTGGTATATAAAAGCTTTGATACAATGATTGATGATAATTGTTCTATCTATCTTGTTGAATTTCTAAACAAGTTGTCTCCTGGTGGTATGAGTCCTCATGAGCTTAAGCTGAAAGTTAATAGTCCTGTTATTCTATTAAGAAACATTTTGCCATCATCTGGACTGTGTAATGGAACATGACTTATTTGTAAATGGTTCTTTCCTAATCTCATTGAGTGTGTTATTGCTGTTGTACATAATAGAGGTCAGCATGTGTTAATTCCAAGAATAAGCTTGCGTCCATCATATTCATCAGGTTATCCTTTTCAGTTCCAACGAAAACAGTTTCCTTTGAAACTTAGTTTTGCAATGACAATAAAAAAAGCTCAAGGGCAGACACTTAGTCAAGTTGTGGTTTTCCTTCCACGACCTTGTTTTTCACATGGTCAATTATATGTTGCGCTTTCTCGAGCTCGCAAGTCATCTAATGTTAGTGTAATAACTGAGGCTAGCAAGCAACAACAAGGCGTGAGTCATGTGAAAAATATAGTATCTTATGATATTCTTCAATTGGCAGGCATTATTTAGCTGTGTGAATACGTAATTATCAACAATTTCTTTATATACATGTTAGTGTGAAGAGTATATATATCATTTTGTTAATAACTTTAAAAAGTTCTTTTGTCTATTTTGTGATTACTTTCGGGATTAATTACTTAACAGGGCAATAAGAGTACTTCATTTGTGATTGTTGAGCAAAGTGAGGTATGAATAACTTTACAACTACATTTCATTCTTTACTTTAAAAAGGGAGTTCATGTAGCATGATACAAATATCATGATCTGTGTATAATTTCCAAGAATGAAAATTTAAAGAGATTATTATATTAAGTAATTATGTGTTATTTATATGAAACTCTATTTTTCAGCTATGTTCAACCAGCTACTCTTTCGATACTTAAAATACAAGGCACCTATAAGCAAGAAGAAAGACAGTACACTCGAGCAATGATGATGATGTTACTATGTTTATATTAAATAAAGGTGATTAAACAAGTTTAAACAGTTTTAAAATTAAGTTTGTGAATGATTATGTCTTTTGCTATTGTTAGTAATTATGATTTATTATTAGAATAACAATTTGATTCAGGATAAGGGTGTTTCAGAAATTGCAAAACAAGGATAAACAAAAAGAAGATCATTTTGTAAGTATATTTCACTTCAGTAGTAAACAAATTCTACTCCAATTAAAAGGTATTGTTGAACAAATTATATTCTAATTAGGATTACTTTAGTAGTAATTAGAATAAAATTTGTTTTGGAAGTCTAAATTTTAATTAGAATTACTCTAACAAATTGCAACTACTACTTTTTTTTTCTTTGTTGTCAGTGATGCAACAACCTGGATTTTAGCTTAAGAAGTTAACAAATTTTTTTTAAGGAAAAAATCTTTTAAAAGATGTAATAGATGTGTAAATTATAATTAAAAGTTTGTAAATCCTTAGAACTACCAAACTATCTAATTTATGGGTTAGGAAAAAAGTCTTTAAAAAAACAAAGAGACAAATAAAACTGTTACATGATAAATATTTATGCATGCATGCATTTTCTTTTTGAAAAAAATGAATGGAAAACACTGTTAATGTTTGTTGAAATTTTGCATGCATCCCTTTAACATTTTTAATATTTTTGGGGCAAAAAAGAAGGACCAACTACTTCTCCCTATAAAAGCAGTGATAAGCTTCACCTACATTCTCTCAAGAAAAAAAAATCTAAATTTCAATCTATGCTTCATATAAAAAAAATAAAAAAAAATAAAACAAATCAAACACATAAAACAGTGGATAAGTTGTACAAGGATCTGCTATCAGCAATCAATCATATGATATTTCATAGGTATGATCTTTTTGTTAATTTTTTCTGTCAAATCATTTTCACATCTAAAGATCTGCATGCGTTGCTATTACTCAACACAATTTGTGTTTATTATATACAGTTCAATTTTATGCAAAGATATTAAATGTACAGTTTGAATTTGCATGATGTGGAATATCATATATTCACAAGTATATAGTTTGATTTTGCTTGATATGTGCTTAAGTTATATGATGTCTTTAAACTTGATTATAATAATTACAGAGTAATTAAACTTAATCACTTAGATAGCACAATGGTTAACAAAATATTTGAAATAGATAGTTTTATATGTGCATGCATAATTATCATTGGTAATATATAGCTTATTAAACATCAACTTAAGGCATGCATTATGGAAGTTATATGCTCATATCCTTTTAGATTTAAGATATTATAAACATTCTACAATATTAGAAGTTTAAACAGGTTACTCTACAATGTTTTATACACCCTAAAGGAATTGATTTTTTGGATGCATGATATATATGGATGATAATATTGCTTTTTGGAATAGGTTATTATTTGTATGATTAAAATATCTACAAATCTAATATGACATGCATGGAATTTAGATTATCCGATCTCTTGCATTTTTAAAAAGTACAATTGTTTACAAAATATATGTAATAGATATTTGTACATGTTGCATGCGTAATTATCATCGAATAGTTCTTACTAAACATAAACTTAAGGCATGCAAAATGGAATTTATATATTCAGTTCTTTTAAAATGAAGATGTATATCATTCTACATCATTAAAAGTTTAATCAAGTTATCCTATACTATTTTATACACCTTAAAGGAATTGAACTTTTAGATGAATGATGCATATGAATAATAATATTGCTTATCAAAAATGATTATTGTTTGTGTAGTTAAAATATCAACAAAACTAATGTGACATGCATGGAATTTATATTATCCTCTGTTTTTAAAAAGGGTCAATGAAAAACATGTAATTAATCACCCTTTTCCTTTGCTATCACTTCATTTTTCAAACTATGATAACAGAAATGTGTTATATGCATATTAGTAGAAATAGCCTAAATACAATTAACTCTAATGAAGTTTCAAATATAACATGCAGCAAACGTTTTCATGGCGCCTCGTCGAAAATTTCTAGCTGAAATCGACTCAACAACAAAAAAAAATTAAAGTAAAAGTTAGAGTTGCAGAAAAAGGCCGTCCTCAAACATCAGAAAAAAAAATACACTATATCAGCGTATGTTTTTAGATGATGACAAGGTACATTAATATAATCTGAAAAACATTTAGAGTTATAATATTGGATTTGCAAAGTTTAACTTATAATCTAAGTAATTGTTTGAATTTTGGCTTTTCATAGAAAAACCGAATGAAGATGACTCTTTTTAGTGATCAAATTCAAGCATACTGGGATGTTATTAATTATAAAGGTAATTATGAAATAGCTGATGCTATAGTCAGGCCCCTGGATGCACAGTGGAGAGCTAGAGAAGCTGATCTTCCATATCATTTGTCACTTGGAGGGGAAACTGTCATTCGATCTTTATATCCTATAGGAGAATCTGTTTATCCTAGATACCAAACACTTGCTTCTATTCCAAGCATTCATGTTGATGATGAGAGACATGGTAAATAAATCATATGGACTACATATACATCCATTTTATTATTAAGTGTATATTTTCACTGTTAATTTTTTTGGAGTTACAGATATCCTTGTGATAGTCCTCTATGCTTCAGCAGAGCTGAGGAAAATCGTTACATCATTTAACAAAGAATCAACAATTTGAGAGCTCATTGTGATAGATCATAGGTAATTGTTTGCGTGGTCTAGCAAATGTCTTAGCATTTATTCTTTTTCGTGTTATATCAATACAATATGAATATTGTGAATCTTTTAATTTCAGTACTAATCAACCGATGAAAGTTTGCACTTGGAATGATCTTGCTGGGGAACAATCAGAATCAGCTGTCTCAAATAGTGAACCTTTTAAAGTAATCGGTATCACTGCCTTGCGTCCTGTAACCCGAAAAGGTTAGACAATAACTTAGATCACACTTTGATGTCGAACTTGAAAATGCATGAAAAATTTCATAATCACAACAAAAAAATGTTGATATCCTTCAAATTTCAGGATTTGTATTTGAATCAACTATGTCAACTTTTATCATGAAAGAACCTGAAGGTGAAAAAGCAGAAGCATTAGCTGAATGGTAAATTGTTATAGAATTAAATTTATGAAATATTTCACATGTTAGGCTACAAATGTCTGAAATATAAATTCTATGAGTTGAAAGAAGCTCAATTTATAATTTATGTTGTTAGTGGAAAGCATAATTTGATGATAATAATCAATATTGTGTACAAATTTAATGACAAAACCTACAACTGCTGACATTTTCTTTTCTCAAACAACAAATAGGGCAAAGAAACATCGAACTACGCTGATCAATGAGCAAAACATAATTAAGGCAGCCTTCAATCCAACAGATGAAAAAACTATAACAACTATAGGCCACCTAAAGTCAAAGAAGGTACATTCTTACACCATATCTATAAAATGATTAGTAGCATCAGAATACATAACTGATATAGTTTTGGTAAATGTTTTACCATAAACACAACAGTAATAACCTTATTCGATATATATACAATGCAATCAGCAGCTACACTTCCAGAGGAAGTATTTTGGTTGAATGTTGTTGCTACTAATATGAAATTTAAGAAATTGAGAGCATACATAGGATGCTCCCATCGTGGCAAACGAACAGAACTTGCTCTTGGAACAGTTTACAATTGCATAACATGCTCAAGAAAGGAAATTCATGCTGCTTATAGGTAAGAAATTCAGTAAGCAAGTTAACTCATTAAATTTTCAAATGTTTATTGTGTCCAACATGAAATTACATTAATTTTTTAATTTACAATGAGCAGAACAACACTTACTTTTGATGTGTCTGATGGCACTGGAACATTGGAGCTCACTGCCTACTTAGAAGTATGTGACAAGCTTTTCCGCATGCCAGTTAAGGACATATACGAAATGAAGATGATGGTATGTATACAATATGAAATATATGAAGCACAACCTCGCTATTTAAAACTACCACCACTAAAAATTTTAAATGTGTAGATTACTTAAACTTTATTTTGTATGTAATTAGGAACAAACTGACAAGTTCCAAGAGACAGCTCAGAATTTAGCGTCAAAGCATTTTCTGATCAAAGTTGGACCAACAACTGCACTGTCAAAGAACAAGGTTTTGCAATGGGGGCTAAAGGGTGTACACTTGGTGG